GGCCTTATAAACTGGCCTACAACTCATTCTACATTTCTACTTGCTTGTTGGCTGACTTCAGATCATCAGACGTGAAGATCCTCTTATCATTTTTATTTTATTTTTATATTTTTTTTGCATTTGTAAAGGATACAACTAATATCTGTTTTTTCATCTGACAATACTGAATTCTCTCTCTCTCTCTCTCTCTCTCTCTCTCTCTCTCTTTTTGTTTTTTTTCTTTTGTTCTATATATATGTATAAACTCTAATTTTATATGTTCGAGGTTGGTTCAACTCTTTTCACATCTCAGGGATTCCTATCTGCCTCAATTTAGGAATGTTAAATTGATGTCACCAACTAAGTCACTAGTGTTGTGCTGTCTGCTCTAATCCTGCTTTGTATAGGAAGGTAAATAATTGACATTCTACTAACCAGAAGTATCTGTGTGGGTCGGTCAGTGCTCACATTGCATTAAGCTCCCAAGTTCATCTGTTACTTTTGACGTGCCGGAATTTCCGATTATTTATTCGATGGGTTTGAATCACTTTGGCAATTGCTTATCCCGATATCCTCAATCTTGTGGCTTGTTTATATGCTGAAAATGGAGGATTTTGAAATATTGCTTTTGCAACAACTGTTTGATGCCAACCCTCATTGATTTTAAGTGCCTGCTTATTATCATATCCGACCATTTTTTTTATAATTGCAATTAGCTTTAGGCGATAGATGCTATTTGGCAGAACATTGACTCGCGACTCGCCTGTCCTCCAGATGTGATTAATAGTGTGATAAGAATTAGTGTAGTTGGTCCTTCTCACCACTGGTTTTTATCTGTTTTTTGTACTACACTTGATTTTTTTAATGTGCATATTTTTTTGGTTTTATTCTTTTGCTTATTGCTTTTGTTTTATTTATGTGAAACATTATCAGTTGGAAATGGTGAAAGCTCTGGAAAGTCAAAGAAAGGGAAAGGGAAGAAAGTTCTGTTTGATTCCGAAGGTTGAACTTGTATATGACACACTTTTTTCTGCTATTTGCTATGTATTTAACTTTATCAGCTATAAGATCTTAAATGCTGAACTTTTATTAACTGTAATTTTGTTTCTATTTTAATGTTTATTCTACTGAAATGTTATAGATTCGCATGAACCCAGGAGTCCAAAGTTTAATGGAAATGCTGATACACCAGCTGCAAAAGGTTTAACTCAATCCATTTATTGACATGTTATGTGCAACTGAGGGCTGTGCTTTTCTGGGACATGAAATTTAGATTATAATTATTTTATTAATGCCGAAACTTTATTTATCGATATGACTTGGGTGAAGGTGGAAAAGGAGGCAGGACTGCAAATGGCTCTAAGAAAACCTCTGGAAAAGCAACTTCACAAGTGGACCAAAGGCGCGAGCAAGGTTACTGCTTCTACATATCCAGTTCTCTCATTTATCTTGTCATATCTTCACCTGTTCTAGGAATTGCTGAATGATTGAATTTATCTTGTTGGTTTCATATGTAATGGATATTATCTAGCATATTAATGGTAAAACTCTGAAGAACCTAAAAATCTCATTGTGACCTCCGACAAAGTTGTAGTTTAGTTGGCATATTATATCTAGCATGCCTGTTGCGTAGTCATATTATTACCAGAACTTGAGAGCAGACTTAATGGCAGCAGGTTGTGTCTGATTGTGGCGTAGCTAAACATGAAAGAACCACTAATCTTGTTAAGTTAGTCAACTGATTACATCTTGAGTCTCTAAAATGATTGGTTATTATTTTGCAGAGCTTCCTCCATATTCTGAGTGTTTAATGGACTGTGAAGCCGTAGAAATCTTGCAAAGCATCCAGGATCAGATGGTTATACTGTCTCAAGATCCAGACATAAAACTTCCAGTGTGAGTGGCAAAAGCTAAAGCTTACATTTTTCTAGTCCTCCTCACCTCCATTTTGATTCCCTTAAATTGCATGCAATGACATAAAAAAAACACTTAAACTTCAAGTGATGGGTTCTGTTTTTGCTTAGGTCATTTGATATGGGACTGACATATGCAAAGAGAAGTGATAATTCTGCAAAGCCTGAAACAGTGAAGAAAATATTTGCGTATCCTCATTTATAGTAACAGTTGAAAATTATACATGTTAGGAAACATTTGATAAGGTAATTGCATGCCTGCCATTTTCAAGAATTGTTTGCCTTTAACTCGAATTAGACCTCTGAAGAAGCATGGTGTTTCTGAAAGTGAGGTACTCATACGGAAAGCTACTTTCTTTTTTTTTTTTTTTTTTNTATGTCCAAGCAAATTATAACTGAATTTCTGTGACCTCAGATTTGCATGATTGTTAACATATGCCCTGAATCAGTGGATGAAGTCTTTGCCCTAATCCCAGGGCTCAAGGTACTTGTAACTATGTCTTTCAGTTAGAAATAAAAAGGGAATACTTGATCCTCTGTTTCTTTCAGCGTCCTACCATTTGTTTCAATACCGAAAATGCATACAGTTACCAAATGAATATTTAGTCTTTTGTTCTTTGATTGGTAAAAAGATGCATTTTATAAACTATGCGGTTTTTTTTTTTTAGATGTCGCCCTGGTTTTCAATGTTTATCATGCAGTAAAGTAACTGTGTAAATCGTGAATATCTCTGCTGAGTGCTATCACCTAAAGTGGATGGTGTTAGTTAATTACTTAGTTCTGAATATTGTGTTCTACTGGGGATGATATATGTAGAGGAGAAGCTACTATTTTGATTGAGTTCTGTACTTCATTCGGAACTCTGAAATACATCGTTTTGTTGAATAATCCAGGAAGTTTTTTATGTACATTTTCTCTCTTGTCGATGCCACTTTCAACTTTTCACTGCAAACTTTTCAAAATAAGAAGTAATTTGTGTAGAAAATGCAAGACTTGAAACATGATTCTTCTCTCTCTCTCTCTCTCTTAATTACCAAAATTGAAGCAGCACAATGTAGGATGCTATTGATTTGTAAAGTTTCTGAAACAAAAGTTTGACAACAATGATTCTTTCCTAATTTGCTTCCTTTTTTCCTCTCTTCTAGCCCAAGATGAGCAAGTTAAAAGATCCTATCAGAATTGCTCTGGATGAATTAGCCAACCTAAAGGAAGCACTGGCTAACCTGAAAAATTTACGAGTATAGAGAAAGGACTGTTGTGAGTTATTTTTAATGATTTGATCTTGTCTTCGCATTATTTGACAACGATTTGTACAAGTTAAATTTCTTTATGTTGATTCTACGTTTTCATATCCTAAATAATTGGTTGCTCTTTTGCAACTCCCCTTCTGGACCAGGTATATGCTGAATTTGGGGGCTCGGTTATTTTGTGAAGCAACAGCATCTGACTTTGCTAACAGCCAACATTTTCCAATGTAGGATAGCAAATTATGATTGTTGGCAACATGAGTTACTGAGAAGGATTTTAGATGGCAGCTAGGACCTCAACCATCCACATTTCTGATATTTTGGCTTGTTAAAATGTCTAGTGTATGTACTTACTGTCTCCAAAACATTCCGGAGTATTATTTTGACCGATCATGGTGAAGCATTCGGTTAAAGACTGGCTTTAATGTCAGAATTTGGGCAATGGCGTAACACAACATATGTCAGGGATATAAGTCTCTCGACAAACTAGCATATACATGGAATTTATTTTCTACTATTGTCAGCCAATTCCATTTTTTTTATAATTTTACACTAACACGGCATGTTTAAGTTGCATATTATATATAAAAGTATGATATTTTATGATGTAGTTAGGGCTGCAAACGAGCCGAGTCGAGCATTGGCTTTATCGAGCAGGATTGAATAATTTTTTAGCTGCTCGAGCTAGAGTTCGATTTATGAGGTTCGAGCTCGACTTCAAATCAAAATGCTCAAGTTCGGCTTAAAAAATTTTAAATGGAAAAATAAAATTACCATTAAGCATCTATGTTATATTATTATAATACATGTAAGAGGTATTTTAGTAATTTAACATATATCACGAGCTACTCGACAATGTAAAATATGGGTTCGAGTTCATGCTCGAGCCGGTTGAGCTCGAGTCGAGTTCGATCAAACTCGAGTTTGAGTCGAGCTTTGATTCGAGCGCTCGCTCGATTAGTTTGCCTAAATGTAGTTATGCATCTATATATATATAATAATAATTACCATTTACTAAAAATAGTAGCAAAAAAATAGGCCAGAATTTAATGTAGCCTATAAATAGTAAGTTTTATTATTTTTTTTATTTTTTCTTTAAAAATCATACATCATTAAATGCTACCTTAAATTTTGGGATTTAGTTCATTTTATTATTAAAAAAATCCGGTTAAGATTTATTAAGTGTGTATGTTTTTATTTTATTTTTTTCTTAGAAACAACGAACAACATTAAATCTCAGTCTCTATATTTATAAAATCTCAATTCAAAATATAGCAAAAGTTTTAGAATCTCGGTCTTTATATTTGTGTCTTTAAAAAAAATATTGAACGCTAAAAATATTCTTTAAATTACACAATCAATTAATCTTAATTTTTTAAAAATTACTATGTTTATTTTTTATTAATATGCATAAAATAAAAATAATTAATTCATCGTTACATATATAATCTATAATCTTAATATACTATCATTTGGTGTAGATTTTATTATATGAATCATAAAATATTTTTATTTCATAAAATTAAATATATTTAAAGAAAATAAGAAAATTTCTTCAGATCAATCGGGTGATTGAATTAGGGTCCTCCCCAGGTTGATTGAATTACTTTTAGGTGACATTTAAAATAGTCAAAAAAATTAACACAATTTGGTTGGTCCCAGGTAACTGAGTTATGTATCAGTTCGACCACACCAAATCGATTATTGAACTTAAATATAAATTCTATATTGAAAATATTTTATAACGTGAATGCGATGTAGTCCAAACTTCAAATAGTCGTATTAAAAATACTTTTATGACAACATGTTTAATGATTTATGAATATTTATATATTATTTTATTAATATTTATGTGAATTAAATATTTTATTATAATATTTATTAATGTACAGTAAATATAAGGTTTTCAGAACTAGACCATCATCGAAACGATCAAGCTATTTTATTAAATCATTTGTTGTTTGTTTAGATTTTAATTTATAAATATTTTAATATATATATATATATATAGTACTTTTTGTAATAAATTTAAATAAAATGTGTTACTTAGATGTCTAAGTAGTTTATAAATTCAAATGTTTAAACTAAGTGATAAATAATTTATAAATCTCTATTTTATTTAAATATGTAATTTTATTTAAAATAACTTTAAATATAACAAAATTTATTTAGAAAATCGTATCGATCCTACCTGTCCAACCGACTGGTGTTGACGGATTCAAAAGCAAATATTTTATTCAAGCGAACTAGACTGGTTATAAACCGGTTTTCGGTCCATCCGATCAAATTGTGTCCAACCCGGTTTAATTCAAAAACAATGAATAAATCATGATTAATGTTATTTATATATTTAATTTATAATACAATCGTAATATTGTTTTCCCGTGCATCGTAATATTATTTTATTCAAGCGAACTAGACTGGTGTTGACGGATTCGAAATCAAATATTTTATTCAAGCGAACTAGACTGGTTATAAACCGGTTTTCGGTCCATCCGATCAAATTGTGTCCAATCCGGTTTAATTTAAAAACAATGAATAAATCATGATAAATGTTATTTATATATTTAATTTATAATACAATCGTAATATTGTTTTCCCGTGCATCACACAGGCAACGCACTAGTTTTTATTTAAAAAGTGATCGTTGGATTGGCCTGACAACAAATTTGTGTATATTGAAATATATTTACATGATTATCCCTTTTAAGGAAATTTGTGCAGTTTGAAGTATAGTTAAGATGACTGTCCCTTTTGAGTTGTGAATTGGAACATTAGCAAGAGGTTCCTAACGCGTTTGCTAGTCAACTTTGTTTGATATTGACGTGTTATTTTTATGCCTATGAATGTTCTTATTAGCAAAATGGAACTGATTGAAAGAAATTATTTATGGGAATGTTTGTATATATGACAAACTAGTACGTACCCGTACGATGTGCGGGACAGAGATTTTAAATGTTTAAGTCTAAAAAATAATAGGACTATTATCTATTTTCTACCTCTTTTAATTAACGTTAAGTCTAAAAAATAATAGGATTATTATAAGTTTTTTTCCACATTTTTTAACCAGTGTTGTTTTTTTAGCCAAAACATTAAATATGAGCATGTTAAGGCTAACTTGTAAAATAATTAATATATTATCTCACTAAAATATTTATACTAATAAAAATTTAATTTTAGCATATTAATTTATCACTTGATATAAGAAAAAGTAATAGTTTTACTTATTCTTCTTCACGATATAATATTTAATTATTATTTTATTATATAATAAAAACAAATACTGTTAAATAGTGTAGTAGAATCGTTAGAAAATTATATGAATTATTATTTTTTACAATATGGGTTTAATATCTTTTTATGATTTGATAATATAACTATAATACATTCTTAATGATATAATAATATGAGATACGGATTTACATTATACTATAGATTTATTCGTTAATGTTAAGATATTGAATTAGGTAATATATGATTCACTAATTTATAATCTGTCTCTTTTTATATTGAAAATAATCATGTGATTGAGTAGAGATAACAATTATCTATAAATTCCTTCATTTAAGGAATAATTTTTAAATTGGTCCAAGTGTTGAATGCAGCTCGATTTTCTTGTAACTAAAATGAGAAGAGATTTTGAATTTCAAAGTTTCACTTCAAAACCACACGTAAATTTGGACTAATTTTTTTTTTTTCGTATTGAATTCATTCTGAAAAATGTAAGATTTATAAATTTATTTCGTAAATTTTAGTACGTAAAATTTTGGATTGAAAATATAATGATTATAAAAAATATGAATGATTGATCTATATAAATGTAACCCTAAATTATATACAATCATTATATGTTTAGATCATTACCTAATAAATCTGAATGCAATATAATGAATCAAAAATATAATCTATGTGTAATAATAAAAAATCTGATCGATTACATATATAAAATTAGTATTTTACGATTAATCTATGTGTAATAATAAAAAATCTGATTATAATGTCCCCAATCAATACCTAATAAATCTGAATGAGATTATTTTTGTCTTCCTCAAAATATTTTATAATTATTATAAATATTCTAATACCGAAATAGTAATGACATTTAATGCTGTTGATTTTTCTAGATACTAAATGTATTAAATAGGATCCCATTTTATATTTATATAAGTATAGATAGATCCTGAAAATCGATAAAATCAGGACGTTTCTTGTACATTTCTCAACCGAAAGCAACTATATTCATGAACAACTTTGTTTTCGTCTTTCCTTCCTCATATCAACTGATACTGGCCAAAGCTGCTTGCTTTGCAGTTGTTTTGGTCTTTACATAAACATTTATTTAAGCTATACAGTAGTCAATACACGATAAGCTGGCATATTAATTAAGTCGGCTATACAGTTGTTTTGGTTTTGTAGAAATACTACCTTTTTTTTTTTTTATATTTAAATGGACTATTGTAAATGGTTTTTCCATACGTCTCCATTTTCTTTTAGAATAGACTTTTTCAATAACTATGGTTCCATAAGTAAATTCTTAATTTATCATTAAATATAAACTAATTAACCATTATATCATTTTTACAAGTTTACTGTATTTTTTGATTTTCTTTAAAAAATATAATATTCAAAGTAAAACCATACATACGAAACTCATAAACGATTAATAAACTAAAAAACAGTACAATTTATCATTTACAAATTAATCATTCATAAACAGTAAAATTTAGAATATTTACAATTAATAAATTTAATAAATGCGCAAACTAAAAAGAAAATTTGTAGGTAAACAATTTGACTCTTGCATTAGAAGTCCTATATCCAATAAATAAATGTCTCCAAGTCTTGAGAAACTATGACTATGAGACAAGAATGGAGCTATGCATAAAATTGAACAATTCTTCAATGAAATTGATGCATGCCTTTCCTGTCAAATGCAACGTAGTATCTATCTATAAACATCCAAGAAAGTTCATCTCACATTCTTAAGAAAAAAAAGGAGAAAAAAGAGAGAGAGAGAGAGAGAGAGAGAGAGAGAGAGAGAGAGAGAGAGAGAGAAATAAAGGATGAAATGCTTCATGTTATGCTTAGAGATATATAAAAAAAGGAAAAAAGTCAGCTCAAAATATGTTAGTTTAAAGTTTTTGAACCTACCTTGTGTAAGCTGACCCTTCATGCATAAAAGGCCAAACTTTTGCCTTCACTCAGTGTTTTTCTTCCTTTAACCTTCACACATTTGTCAATCATTTACCAAAAGTTTCTCATTTTCATTCAGTTTTTGGCTTTGGCATTACTTCTGTTAGATGCAAAATGGGCGCAAAACCGAGCAGAGATAACCCGGTTCGCAGCTCATCCACTCATCACCTTAGTTTTTCCAAAACCAGCTTCATTTCTGATAGAACAAGAGAAGCTTACTCCAAATTTAGAAAGATTGATGATAACTACACTACTTTAGAGCAGGTGAGTTTTACATTTGTATTGTTTCTTGTGAAGAAATGAACTGTAAAAGATTCAAGGGAGTCATGTTTCTTGTATTGTATGCATGAATATTGACATATGTTTGTAGTTCTCTTGAAAATATGAACGAGAGGGATAATAACGATCGATCATCCAACCGGAAAAAAAATAAATAAATAAAAATCATGTTTGGGATGAAAACATGTTTCTTGCGTATTAGGTGACACGAGCACTTTACGAATCTGGTTTGGAATCCTCAAACTTGATTGTGGGTATAGACTTCACTAAGAGCAACGAGTGGATGGGAAGAGAGTCGTTTAATGGGAGATCCCTTCACTACATAGGCCAATGCATGAATCCTTACGAGCACGCAATTTCTATTATTGGAAGGACTCTTTCGTCATTTGATGAAGATAATCTCATCCCTTGCTTCGGGTTTGGAGACGGTACTCATTACTGTATACTTAACTTGTATTTAATTTCTCTTTTCCCTTTTTTGGGATTCAATGGAGATTTATGATTGATTTTTTATTTTTTTTCAATTTTTTTTTGTTTGCAGTTAGCACTCATGATCAAGAAGTGTTCAGCTTCTACCCGGACGGCAGTCCGTGTGTCGGCTTTGAGGAGGCACTTGCTCGGTATAGAGAAATTGTTCCACATGTCCGTTTAGCAGGTTCGTTTAGTTTTTAATTCCACCTTTTTTATGGATTTCTGTTTTTTGAGATTGTTTTTTTATCTTATTGAGAGATCTGTTTTTTGTGATTGTGTAGGACCTACTTCGTTTGCGCCCATAATCGAGACAGCTATCGGGATTGTTGATCAAAGTGGCGGTCAGTATCATGTTCTAGTGATTATAGCTGATGGTCAGGTGAGTTAACTACTACATTNAAAAAAAAAAAAAAAGAAAGAAAGAAAGAAGAAAAATATGCAATGACAGGTGACACGAAGTGTAGACACAGCGGTTGGGAAGCTAAGTCGACAGGAGAAAAAGACAGTTGATGCCATCATCAAAGCAAGGTTAGAACAAATAAAAGAAGAAAAAAAAAAAATATTTGAATATCTTTGTAATAAAGAAAAATTCGTTTTAGAAACCATTTATTTATCTACTTATGTTGATATTTTTCAGCGAATATCCACTTTCAATAATAGTTGTCGGAGTAGGAGACGGGCCATGGGACGTGATGTGCGAATTTGACGACAATATTCCGGCCAGAGTGTTTGACAATATTCAGGTAAAGATTAAAGAACATGTAAAAATGTGTTTTAATCACTTGGAACTAATACATTTATGCGTTATTTTGCTTTCCGGTGACTATATTTTGGTGGTGCAAAACACGCAGTTTGTTAACTTCACGGAGATTATGTTGAGAAATTTGCCTCTAGAGCAGAAGGAGACAGAGTTTGCTCTAGCTGCACTAATGGAAATCCCCTTACAGTACAGGGCAACTCTTGAACTCAATCTCTTGGGGTAAACGAAATATTATTTCACATAAATGAAAAATGCTATTACATTTTTCATTTTTATTATTATTTTTGGGCAGTAACTCGAGGGGAATCAGCACAGTAGTTCCATTGCCACCTCCAAATTTTTCCCGTTCGAGCATCTTTACTCGAAACTTCCTGCCTTCATGCCCTCCTTCTCCATCTCCTTCCGACAGTCGTTCAGCTATTCAGGTATATATATGTGATATTAACATCTTTTGTTTTTTATTGTCCAAAACGATTGACTTTGTCTATTTAGTTACCTTGCTAACAATTATACTCTGTGTTGATATTCAGAGGAGGTGCCCAGCTTGCTTCCATAACAGACGAGACCTTGCACTTGGATGTGGCCATCAGGTAAACAGATTTAGAAAAGAAAGAAAGAAAGGTGACTCATGTTATGGAAAGATTTCATTTCTGTTGATCTCTTAATACTGCATTTTTTATCTAATAATAGTTTTTGTACACGCGTATTTGTTTTTTTGCAGATTTGCCGTGACTGTGGTAATAATCTCACGTGTTGTCCCATATGCCGGACAGAGATAACAACCAGGATAAGGCTCTATGACTGAACTTTATCCGCTGCTGCATTTCGTACAAAAAATATTATCCGTTGTTATCAGTTTGCATCGTTGGTTTTCGGAAATGTACTGTACAATATCATATGTATTCAAATTGTTAATACTTGGACCTCACATTGATGATGTGCTTGAACAGTTGAACAGACAATATCAGTCATTTCTGTTTTTCCTTTTTGAGTAAGTTTTTTTGAACCAGATGTGCAGTGTGCTTGGACAGACATATATTATATATATCACTCTTTCTTTGTCTAACTCAAAGAAAATGCTATATAATTGTAGCTATCTCTCTCTCTCTCTAAACTACATAATGTCCAGTAATGCAGTGAGTATAAGAGGTGAGTTCTGGTTTATTTTTCCTTAGGGTGTTGTTGCTGCCTGTTTGATTTCTCAAAGAAGCTGATCATTTGTGCAAGAACAGCACTAATTGCTGCTAAGACATTTATGCTGAAATTGGCTAAAAATTTTTAATCATCTGATGAATCCAGGATTGTTTTTTCTTTCCTTCTTTGTATTTGTTCTCTTTTATAAAGTGCGCCTGTTTATGTATATATGCCAACCTTAATTCCCTTCTATATATAGTCATTTCAATATGAGCATATTCTTGACTGGCATTAATAAAGAAAAAATATAAAAGAAATAAAAATGACAGAGACCAAAGCAAACAGGGACCAACGTCACTCCTAATCAGAAATCACATAGCCACCACTCACAACACTACAAATATATCATCAAACCATAAAGGCCTTTTAAATAATAAATACTTAAAATAGTTATGATATATTCCACACTCTCAACTCCTTCACTCTTAATAAGTCTAAACTCCTTTAACTACTAATCCTTAAACAATTATCTTACCTAAACACATATAGCAATATTTTCACTGTGCAGTATTACTACTTTGTTTCCCCCTCATTTCCCCCCAAACAAAAAACCCACTTAAAAAAAATTCTCCATGTAGTCACACCACAAACAATCCAACCGTCCAAAAAACAACCAACATCATAACCCTAACCCTCCCACCATCCAATCCAAACCCTAAAGAATTCACATCAGTAACCCCAACAAGAAACCGACAATCCCCAACCGAAGGATCCAAGAACGTGATCATCCCAAGCCCGTCAAACTCGCAGCTCTTCGGATTCTGCTTCTGCATCTGATAATAACTATTAAACGCGTACGATATATTCCCCTTCTCCCCAATCCCATTGCACGACCCCCCGTAGTTCAAAGTCGTGCAATCCGCATAGCTACACGCGAGCTTAAAATGACTCTCCACTCGCGACACGTCATCATCACGCGTAGGGTTCGCCACACACCATCTCGACGGCAAATACTCGACCCGCTTCGCATTCTTCAAAAGCCCATTTCCAAGATTCAGCCCATACTTCGCCTGACCGTCAAACGAGAATATTCCCCAGTGCCTCTCGAAATTTCCGGGGAGAACGCTCTTCGCCCCCTCGTCAAAAAGGCTGAAGAGGTACACGTCCATTGGGGGCACGCCTGGCCTGAGAGGTGTTCCTCTGTTTCTCAGCACACGGTAAGCCAGCCCTTGGTTGAAGGCTCGGGCAGCGGTCAGGTTCGCGCTCACGGCCCCATCTGTGGGCCAGCCCACTTCGCCTATGATAATCGGCATCTGGGGATACCCGATTTTCGTCAGGGCAGAGACTAAAGTGTCGAAATTCCCGTCGAACGCGTTTTCGTAAGTGTTGGGCCCGTCTGTCACGGGATGTGAGGTGCCGCCGAAAAAGGCGTAATCTTGAGGGAAATCGGGATTTGCGTAGAGGCTCAGAAAGGGGTAAATGTTCACCACGAAAGGGGAGCCGTTGGAGTTGAGGAATGTGACGAGCTGTGTTATGGTTTGGGCGAGTTCGGGCCTGAAGGCTCCTTGTGAAGGGAGAGAGGATTCGTAGGCATCGGCATTGCAAGGGACGACGAGTTTAACGGGGCCCGCGAGGTTCGATTTTGCTAAGGACTGCTGAAGGTTTGTGAGGGCTGGCATGACGTAAGGTTGGAACTGTCCCGAGTAGCTTGTGAGGAAAGGTTCATTTCCTACCGCAATGTATCTGCAAGAATCGGAATGTAAAGATCAGTTTGGATAAAGAGAGTTTTTCACAAACAGTGGAATGATTAGAAAACCAATGTGATTTCAAGTTTATCAAGGTTCGGGTCGGATTTTCAGGCTATGTGCAGAGAAGAAGGGACGTTTGTTTTGTTCAGGACTTAGCAGCAGCAGCAGTTGATGTTAGTAGGTACTGAGAGTTTTAAATTTTGATCCTTTGCTCATCGTCACAAAAGTTGAATCTATCTTCAATAGGATTATCAATAGCTTCCAATTAATGTTCAAACCAAAACCGGATTAAGTTAAACCCGAAATACCATCTAAAACAATATCATCAATAACATTGAAAAAGTTGTTGTTTGTTATGAATGTACAAGTGTCATAACATAACACAGAATCTTTCACTCCCTAGTTCCAGTTCAGTTGCCACTATAGTCTGAAAACACAAGGACTACCATCATTTTTGCATTCACACATATAAATAATACCAAACATACACACAGCACACATATACACAAACCAAAAGGGGTCCTCCACAAAATCCACTAAACAAACTTACACACATACTAAAAAGCACCAATTCTTTTCTCAGGAAACCACCGAATATCAAGATCAACACCACACAGGCACCAAGAATAACGAAACTAAAAAGGAAAATAAAACAAATCCAACAAAATAAAAATTAAAACACTGACTTGATATTAGCACCGCCTTTACCCACGTATCTGGATACGTTCTGCGAGACCCACAAGTCGGCAGCTGAGGAAGACGAGCTTATGAGCTCCAGCATCTCGTTGGGGATCCCCACCATAACCTCAATCCCGCTCCCCATCAACGCCCTCAGCACACCCGGGTCGGCGTCGAACAGCTTCACTTTCCCGATCTTGTTGTCCTTGAGGAGATCCACCACCGTATCCGGCGACAGGCGGTGGTTGGACATCGTCCCCCAGTTCACTCCGATCCCGGACTCTGCCACCATTGACGCCACCGACAAGCAGAGGAGGAGTACAGGGATTCTGGGGCTGCCTGACATCTTTCGTCTAGCTCTAGGGCTGAAGATGTTGGGGGAGAGAATCTTTTCATTAATGGCGAGGTAGGCTGGAATGAAAGGCGGTGGAGATGGGAGCTGTGATTTGTTTCAGGCTTTCAGCAGAAGGAAAAAGGTGAAGCCAAGTGAAAATTGATGATTTGGTTTTGGTGGATAAATAAATATAATACAGGTGGACGTTGGTGGTGGTAAAGCGTAAATTTGAAGTATCCAGAGAGAGAAAAGTTATTTCTTTTGGATAGTTTTTAAACCCGGCCCGATCCAGGTCAGGTTTCGAGTCACATGTTCAATCGCTGGGTCATCGAATCAATTGTTGAATTGGATAATTAATTTTAAAAATTTTAATGTTATATATAGAGAGAGTTTTGTCATATAAATATACACAAAATAACAAAATTAAATATTTTGTATATAAAATTTGTACATTAAAGGGTTAATAATATGTATCTCATGATAAATATTGACCACATAAATATATACACATAGTTTTATTTTTTTTTAAATAATATTTTAAAAAAATATAGGAGCCTAGTCAATCGGGTTGATCCGACCGGGTCAATGCCCCGGGTCGACCAGGTCAAGGCCGGGTTTTGACCGAGTTTGACTGGGTCCTTTGTTGCCTCGGTCCGAATAGATTACCCGAACTGGTTCAGGCTCCGAGTCGACCTGCTGCGCTAGTCCGGGTTGAAAAATTATGTTTGTTTGCATCAAATTATGATTATTTTCTTTTATTATAATTTAGAGGATATAGTGTTTTTAGGTTAATCGCTATCATTTTTAGGTTAATGTTTTTTTTTTAAAAATTATTAACTGATATAACATATATAATAGCTCGAGTGAATGGTTTCTTTTAGCTCGAGTTAGTCAATCATAAGATAGATTAGTTAAATTAGGTTAGAATAGCTCAGAGGAGTCCTCTTGAAGATAGCTCGGACAATTTTGTAGCTTAGACAACATGATAGTACGACGATAGCTTTGGTGTTGTAGCCTGGACAACATGATAGTACGACGATAACTCGGACAATGTTGTAGCTTTTGGACAACATGATAGTACTTTGATAGCTCAGACAATGTTGTAGCTCGGACAATGTTGTACCTCAGACAAGATAGTATTCCGATGGCTGCGCGACACCTCGGATAGTGCATAAGTCAGACAATTGCATGGAGCAAGAGGGAGAGTTTGGAGGTGGCGTGTTGAGGGTGTATTTTTTCTGACAGAGAAAAAAAATGTGATGAGAAATTACAAAAGATATTTCACTCCCATTAAATTAGCATATTACCCAAAAAAAACTCTATCTACTTCACTAAATCTCTTTAAGGAAAGGTAATTATCAATTATGTGTATATCGTATGTTTACAAATATTTTGAGTAGTTGGTGTACTATTGCTAATAAAAATATTATAATAGTAGATATGAATAGTTTTTGATTGAGTTCGGCCATAGGGTTTATATTTTCCTAGAAAAATGGTTGGCTGACAAGGGGCCTGTTGACCTTTCCAACCAAAGCCCCCGGCCCACGCTAGTTAGTCATTTTAGGTTCGATGGGAAAAAATACAACTCAGCCCACTCTTTTGGCAGGATGTGGTGGGTTGGCCCACGTGATTAAATCTGTTTTGACAAGTCCAGGCCCACAATCTTTAGTGAGCAGCCTCCCACATTTATAAATAACCCATGCTTTAATTTTTATATTGTATGAAAAAAACACAAGATACTTAAAGCGGGTTCAATAAAAAAAAATTATATGCCACCTAGAAAATAGACTCAGTCTAAAAAAATATATTTTTCAATGAGTGAAAGTAGACTAGGTCTTACTGACGCGGTAACAAAAAAAAGAGACTCAATCTACCGTTAAGTCTATTTTAGACCCAATTAGAGACTCAGTCTCTTTGCATTAGAGTGAATTTTGTTAATTTTACATAGTTTTATCCATATCATCAAAGACTTGAATTTATTTACATGTCATATAGGCAAATCTAAACCCAATGCATTGTGCGTGATTGAATATGAGTTATAACCAGTTATGATCGGTTGGTTTATTACATATTCAATCATCTAACTCAAAATTCAACTTATCCCAATTTTCATACTTTTTATAGATGAACAATCAATCATTCTCACATATCACATCAATTTTAATTCATTATCCATCCACTCACATAATTTTAACTGCTTATTACTTTTAATAATCTCTCATACTTTTATATCACATCAACTTTAATCATTACATTTTAAATATTACCTCCTATTTTTTTAAATATTATTTTGACTTTATCAATAATTAATCAAATAAATGACGTTTTGGATCTTTTGTACATATTTTTTCATTATTATCCTCATCTTGCTAATAAATACACTACGTCTTTTCATATTCACCCTCTTCATATTTTCTCAAAACATCCATCTCTATCCTTATTAATGAGGGTTATTATTGGCAAAAAAAATAATCCCAATTACTGTGCAACCTCTCAAAACGACACTTATTAAAAATGGGAGGGAGTATTATTTAACTTTAAATTCAAATCATCCATTAAACATACTTTAATCAACTTTAATTATACATTTTAAATTATTAATTTCAACCTCAAAATCATACATTAAACATAACTATAACCAAACACAATCAGTCAAAACTGATTGGATTCATATCATGCATGATTATTAGTTGAAATGTATCAATTGTCCCGCTAGCTATTTTCATGGAGATTACAGGCACAGCAGCATCTGGAAACTTAACATCAAAATCAAGAGGGATTGTTGATACTAACCAGATAGGATTCATTTTTTGTTTTCTTGCTCCACAGGATACGGTTGGAGATTTGGAGTGAATGATTGGGACTGTTTTCTTATTGCTACATACAATTAGTCAATTATAGCTTGCTTTATACTTTATAGGTTAACGTAGGGTAAGAATAAATATCCATAACAATATTGTGGAATAAATAAATAGAAGTAGGTCGGATTGATATGAAATTTTTTGGAAAACATTTACTTCGTCTGAAAAATGAAAATAGAGATGGAAAATTTTTCTTTAGAAAAAAATTAGTATTCTTTTTTTGTGCACGGGCGAGATTAGTTGATTATAGTAAGGATTATAAAATATTGAAAGTCAATAATCTGCAAAAAAATTATTATCGAGTAAGAAAAATTTTATTGTAAATGATATTATATATTTGTCGATTGGTCCTCTCTGTATAACAATATCTATATCTTTTTAGATTGGTCATTTTTAAATTATTAGTGTAACTGGTTATGTCATAACTTTCATTCAATAATTCATTACATACTAGTGTGTACCCCGTGCGATGCACGGGAACAATATTAAATTAACAATATTATAAATAGATCTCGAGTTTGAGTCAATGGCGGAAGTGAAAACTACTATTGATCGTATTTAAAAAGAGGAAGAAAAAAAAAATTATAAATAAAAGAGGAGGATAAACAATACTTAATAATTATAAATTAAAGATTCGGGTCAAACAATGTAAAATGATTTTGTATAAAAGAATATAAAAAAAATTGATTACACACCATTTCAAAATTATTATTATACTTTTTGTATGGTTAGCTTAGAATATTTGTAAAAATAATAGTAATTAGACCGATGAAAATTAGCTTCTTAAAGTAGATAATGGATTTTAGTAGTAATTATGAATTAGTTTCTATTTTTTTTTTTTAAAGATAATGAATTTCTAGTAGTAATTATGAATTGATTTCTATTTTATTTTATTTTTTCAAATTTGTATAGATAAGAGATGAGATTTTTTAAACACCTAAAATCGTATGAAATGAGATTTTGTAACATAAGAGATAAGCTCGTGTAGATTTATACTGAAAATAGGAAAAAGAAAATAAATATTTATTATTAAAACGATAAACTAAGAAACAGGAAAAAGAGAAACAAATCTTTACACAATTAATGAGCAGATTTTTCAAATCTGTATAGATAAGAGATGAGATTTTTTAAACACCTAAGATCTTATGAAATGAGATTTTGTAACATAAGAGATAAGCTCGTGTAGATTTATACTAAAAATAGGAAAAAGAAAAATAAATATTTATTATTAAAACGATAAACTAAGAAACAAGAAAAAGAGAAACAAATCTTTACACAATTAATGAGCAGATTTTTTTGCCTATTCAGAGTTGTTCAACAATTACTATATATAGGATATATTTCATGATTTTGGCGGGAAAAAGTTTCTAAATTTGTAAAAAGGTTATTCTTTTTATATAATGATAGATTAAACGAATACATTATAGTAACACATTACTTAATAAACATTACTCACAACAACATTACTGGCCGGTCGTTTGATGACTAAGATTTCACATCATTAGGTTAATTGAATAATATATTACGACCTTTCTATTTTATTGTTAAAAAAATTCCACTTAAAAAAGTTTAGCAAATAAAGAAATTAAGTTTTTATCTAATTGATGTTACCAATAATTTTTTTTTGTTCAAAATCTATGACAACTTCAAGCTAGAGTAGACACATATTAGAGAGTATGTTGATTGGATTATCATAATAAGAATGACAAATGAATTAATGTTAAAACTCAAACACAATGTATATAATAATTTAAAATGAAAATAAAAAATGAATAAAAAATTAAGATTAATTAAAATCAAAGGGAAAAAAAATTACAATTGTCATTCACCATCTATCATGAACGTCTCCATATTGATCTATGGGTAAAAAAAAGCCACAAAGTTTTTATGCACTAAAATAAGAGGGCTATAATCTTCGTCCTCTATTTTCTTTAAATCTTTGTTAAATTTGGCTAATTACAACTAAACTACCAAAACAAAATATGAGTAGCAACTATAGTACTCTAATAATTCAAGTTGTCAACAGTTCTATTA